TAATTGAGTTTCAATAGCTTCAATTCAATCGATAATATCATTGGTAACTTTTGTATGAGATTGACTTATTTTCATTATAATTTCTATATTTTGTCGTAAAATCTCGTTCATCTTTTCTATTCCATATTTGATATCTTCAGCTTCTTCCCTGGCATAAATAGCATATTTTTGGTATTATCTATTTGCAAATTCAATATTTCTACTGAGAAAATCTGCAAGATAATTATTCACACATTTAATATGAACAGTATCAAAATTATAATAAGATAAATATGCTTGCCAACCTCCTATATTGAATTCGTTTATATATAAGAGACTAATATCTAAAACTAGACATAAAGAAGGATATGTCTTGCAATAAATGAAAACACATATCTTTAAGGGTAATATAGACTTTTTAACCGATTTTATAAAAAGCCCAGTCAACCAGGCCAATCATAATAATGCCCCTATGATCTTCTCTTGTTTAACATACTTGACTCACTCAACGTCCAAACGTTATCACATGAGACCACAAAATGTCCGCAAAGTTTGAATACTGTATTCAGGTGTAAGAAAATCAAATGTATTCAAGATTTTCCTCAGAAAATTCTTGAATTGCAAAATATTGCAATTTTTCTCTCAGTCGACACATGGCGTTGCAAACCCTATTGGTACATTGGTAAGAAAAACTCGACAATCTTAGATATTATTATAAAAAAACCTAAAATTTTCGTTATTAAAATGTCCAGTCCTATCACTAATACTTACAGAACATACATTATAAGTCAACCTCTAGCGAAGAATTGAAATGATGGGATCAATGGAATAAATTAAATCAATCTCATTCTTTGGAAATTAACGTTAGCACGTTTAATCAAACCACGTACTTTGGTCAACCTACGAAAAATTGATAAATATGTGGCATATATATTTTATGCGACTCCCTTGGGGATAAAGGAACAAATTAATTATGTGCAAACAATATAGATGAAGAAGAGGGTTGTCTCAGATTATTGGATATTTGCTTCCTGTCATGTTCATGAATTTAATGGTTTCCTAATCTTTATAGAAATAAAATTTTAAAATATCGTCATATCATCACTTCTGAACATATTTTCTCTGAAAAATACAACTAAAAATGGACGATTACTTCCCCAGCCATTGCCCACCAGATTTGCCCTCGAACTGGATGGACCTTATCAGGGCGAAATAGCGGATTAGGGTTGGTCATAATCGGGGGACATATTATTACGGGTAAAGTCATTTGTACGATGGAGTTTACACGCCAGGGTACACGGCCCCACCGTCCCCTCACAATGAGGGGGGCCCGAGGTGAATTTAAAAATGCCCCCCACCCCCCCAATTACACGCCCGTGTACCCATAGCACGGTCCTATTATTACAAGAAACCGTGCTCAATCCTTGAATGATTGACTCGATCGGTTTCATTTCGATTTTCAAATACGTAATTTCTAGACTATAACTGGATAGGGCCCATAAGGTTCTCTTTTCTCCAGTCGAAATTGGACACGTCCGTTTCAAACATGTGTGTATTTTATATTTATTGCTTCCAATCTTGCTACCCGCAGATTCCAGTATCCATCTAATTGCATGTTCCAAGAAGTTTCTTCATCCCTCTCTTTTTAAATATTAATTTCAGTTGACATTTAACACTTAAGATTCACCAAAAATCTACGTAGCGTGTTGAATAAATCAACTAAAATTCTCTTCATCAAGAAATTGAATCATTCAAATCTGCCAAGAATAAGTACATAAATTCTCCATAAATAAATTCAGCTCTCTCTCTCTCTCTCCCCCTATATATAAACTACGATTCATGCTAAGATAGAAGACAGCAATGTCGATAACCAAGTTTTGCTTTAGCATTCTCTTCCTCTTGTTTATTAATGCTAATTATTCTTTTGCTGCTGCAATAAATGTAAAAAATAATGAAACCTCTCAATATTCATTGGTTCACATTGGATTGGTTCTTGATTTAGATTCTCCCATGGGAAGCATGGTGGATTTGTCCATAAACATGGCCCTCTCCGACTTCTACGTTGAACATCCAAACTACCGAACACGATTGCACTTACGCACGAAGGATGCTGAGGGTTTGCTCAATACAAATATTGCAGGTATTTTGTAATCCTTTCAAAGAACTCAAAACTGTTTGTTTAAGCAAAATTTTCCGTTAATTAATTTCATTATTGATTGCTTGATATTTTGTACAATAATTTAGATATGGTTTGACTTTGAAAAGTCGTGTGAAGCTCAAGTGGAGCTTTAAATTTTCATTTCACATTAAAATCTTTTACTTCATAAGTTAATCGTTAATGTTTTCACACTTTTTTTTACCCGTTCTATCGTGGTAATCCTTTTTTCCTTCCAAGACACAAGGACGGTGTTTGAGAGTAGGCCAAACTTCTTCAATCTCGCGTAATTTTTAAAAAAAATTTAATTTTCTCCACTTTTTGCTTTTATATTTTAAAGAATTTGTACACTTAAGTCACATCTCATACTTTTAGTAGGACAAAATTATAGAAGAGTGACGAAATTTGTCAATTCTAGTAGTACATGACATGTAGAACAATGAAAGGTATAGCTCATTGAAAAATCATTGGTGCATCAATTGAGTTGCTCCTTGTTTGGATTTATAGTACCTTATTGACATTTTAATGGAAATGAGTGATGGAAAAATGGGTGGAGTGAAATGTGTAACTAAAATTAAAATTTGATTGACTTTTAAGTTATCATAAAAACAAACACTAGTCAAGCATTATAATATATTTTTTTAATTCGCCACACCCTACCCTAGGTGTACTATCAAAGTGGACTTTCAGAAAGCTTATGATTCTAACAATTGTCCGGAACTCCATAACTAAAGGAATTGGGATGGTATATCGAGAGACATTTCATCCTCATGAATTCGGCTCAATCAAACCAATTGTGCTATGCTAATTCTCCTTGAACACTTGGTCTAATCAATTATACGCAAAATACTAAGATATAATTGTTTCATGAGGAAAACTCCCATTCATAGGAAGGCCCGAATTGAATTTAGGATGTGGTCATGNGAAGGCCCGAATTGAATTTAGGATGTGGTCATGGTCCCGTGGGTCTTACTAATTCCCAGTGGACATGAGTTGCAATGGAAGTATGGTGGAAGCAGGCACGGAAGAAAAAGCTGATTTTCTTATTCTCTTTGGCTTATTTAGTTTACTCATTCTGAAAACTACCGAGGGGGACGAATTATTTTGCATTATACAGCTTAGGAAACATGAATATCAACTATTTCTTCCTTGAACTGAATGAAAAGGTCATGGATTTGCCAAGCTTAGGATACCACTTCACTAACGATCAAGTGGCCTTGAATATTTTTGTTATTTCGCGACCCAAAATTTGTTAGATGTTCGTGGATTGGTTGAAAGGAGTATTAAAGAGGTATGGAAGTTTTGTGGCAGCAATTGAGCATTTGGAATCAATTTGGACCGAAACTCAGCGCCTGGACGCCATTGGAAGCACTGCCGCAGCCGCTCGCCTACTGCCCTCTTGCCGCTTGAGCGCCACTCGCCTAGTGCAAGACTGCTGCTTGAGCGGCATATATATCCAACTAAAAAATTGCTTCCTTCTTTTGACGCGATTTTTTATCCTCTTTCCAATCATATAATCTCGTTTCTTTTATTTCTAACAAATGGTATCAACATACATAATTCTTATTCGGATTCTAACAATTTTCAAGTAACGTACATAGCTTAGTAATATCACCTATTCTTTTTCAAGCTTGAAGACGAATCCTATTGTTTTTATATTTTATGTAGTTCTAGAGTTAATGAAGCAAGGAGAAGTGCATGGGGTTTTAGGACCACAGGGTCCAACAGAAGACAAATTTGTTGCAGAACTTGGAGGAAAAGTTCATGTCCCGGTTATTTCTTTCACTGCAAGAAGCTCAACTCTTCCCTCTGCGCAAAACCGCTACTTTCTGAGGACAACTCCAGATGATTCATATCAAGCTCAAGCTCTTGCTGCTATTTGTCAAGGATATGAATGGCCTCAAGTAGTGATCTTGTATGAAAACACGGATTATGGCTATCAATTTCTTTCGCATCTAAATAAAGCATTCCAAGAGGTTGAAATTGGGATAGCATATATGGGTGCCTTCTCCATATCATCAGATGATAATCAAATATTGAAAGAATTGAACAAGCTTAAAGAAAAACAAACGAGGGTGTTCCTGGTGCACATGAACTCGTCACTTGGTTACCGGCTATTTGTTCTTGCCAAAAAAGCTGGAATGATGACTGAAGGGTATGCGTGGATTATCACCGACTATTTATCAAACTTCTTAAATTCTATGGATTTCGTTGCTCGTGATTCAATGGAAGGTGTTTTGGGTATAAGGCCCTATGTATCCTGGTCAGAAAAGCTTGACAGATTCCAAGAAAGGTGGCAAAGGAATATGGTAGTGAAGAAAAGCGCAGGTTCAATTAAGGATTTCAATGTCTATGCTTTGTGGGTTTACGACACAGTGTGCTCCTTGGCAATTGCAGCAGAGAAGATTGGACCGGTAAACTCCAGCTTATTGTATGTGAACACCGGCAACAATGTAAAAGACAATACAAACTTGAAAATCTCAGCATATGGACCAAAACTTCTGAGTGAATTGTCAAACACAAAATTCAGAGGCCTGAGTGGAGACTTTCTATTGATTAATGGGCAATTGAAACCTTCAGCCTTTGAGATATTTAATGTGATTGGAACTGGAGAGAAAACCGTGGGATTTTGGACACCGGACAGAGGAATATCCAGAGAATTAAGTTCAACTGGTAAACCTACATACTCAACATCCACAAAAAATCTGAAAAACGTCATGTGGCCTGGAGATTCTGTCATGCGACCGAAGGGTTGGGTTATTCCTGCAACAGGGAAACTGAGAGTTGGGGTTCCAGTGAAACATGGATTCACAGAATTTGTAAATGTAACAATAGATCCTATAACAAATCATACAAATGCAACTGGTTTTTCAATTGATATCTTCATGGCTACACTGCAATTGTTACCTTTCCCTATTAATTACGAATTTAATTATTATAATGACAGTAACGATATTAACTGGAGTTATGATGGCATGCTTCATGGGTTACCTCAGGTACTTTGATATTCATGTCATTACTCTTCACTTCTCTTTTTTTATAGTTGATCTTATTCTGACAGATCTTCATGCTTATACGAAGTGTTATAGCACCTCCTTGCTGTTTTTTTCTTGTGAAAATAAAATTACAGATGTTTGACATGGTGGTGGGAGACACAACAATTTGGGCACCACGAGCAGACTATGTTGATTTTACACTACCATATTCAGAACCAGGAGTAGTTCTAGTGGTAAAAAATAAGAAGCCTTTTGACATGTGGATTTTTATTAAGCCTTTGAGGTGGGATCTTTGGCTGGCAATCATCTTGGCTTGCATTTTGATGGGAATTGTTCTCCGAATATTAGAACACAGAGTAAGAAACGCCAACGAAGAATCCATTAGGCCACGCAAGGAGAGACTTAGAATGATCTACTGGTCTCCGATAACAGTTCTTGCATTTCCTGAAAGTAATTTCTAAATATTTTTTGAGTTTTATTATTTTCCATTCGTTTTGATCCTCCTTTGATAGTCTGGAACAATTGGCTACTGTGTCTTTCACATGGAAAACTGGCCACAGAAATAGACACAAAACCATTTGTCCCAGACCGACTAAGAAATGTCGCGTTAAATTACTGAATACTTAGTCCACACCTATAAGTTAGAACAAGAAACACACCACATTTTTCAATCTACACCATGAAGACTACTTGATTCACATTCTCTGTATATTGTTCTTGACAGGGAATATGGTGGCTAATAGCTGGTCGATATTTGTATTGGTGTTTTGGCTGTTCATGGCTTTCATCCTTATGCAGAGCTACACAGCGAACTTATCAGCGATTTTGACAGTAGATCAATTAAAATTTGCATTTTCTGAGGATTACTGTGTGGGATATCAGGAGGGTTCCTTCATGAAAGAATTTCTGAAAGAGCAACTTCACATTAGCGAATCAAGGCTCAAAAGCTACTCATCAGTTGAAGATTACCACGACGCTATGTCTAAAGGAAGTAAAAGAGGAGGCATAGATGCCATATTTGATGAGATTCCTTACATGAAGATTTTCCTCGAGAAATATGATTCTGAGTACAAAATGGTCGGACCAACATACAGGACGGATGGATTTGGTTTCGTAAGTTTCTTGTTCTTTATCTTATACGCTATCATTTCCTTATGGTATAAATAAAAAAATTTTACTCAAATTTGGAGTGACTGTAGTGTTTTAACAATATATTTAAAAATTCTTGAAGTATTGTCTAGGCAGGAGAGGAAAATGTATGACAGTTACAAAAATAACTGAAATAGCAGTCAATGAAAACATTAAAGTTTCCTGTGGCAGTTTCTCCCTTCACTGCTTTAACAATATACATTTGCTTCTGGAAGTAAAAATTTATCTGACATATAAGTTAGAACTATGCAATTGATTGTGGCTGCATATTTTGTTTCATATGACTTTCATTTTCTGATTTGACTACATCACCTGAGCAGGCATTTCCTGTTCGCTCTCCCTTAACTTCATATTTTTCAAAAGCAATCTTGGCCGTCACTCAAGGTTCAAACATGACATCTATTGAACGAAGAAATTTTGGACCTGGCTACTCGTCTCAAGATCCACTTTCCTCAACAGTCTCGCAACAGACTTCCAGTCTAACTTTTTACGACTTCGGAGGTCTCTTCATTATTGTCGGATCAGTTACTTTGTTTGCTCTATTCTGCTCAGAGACATCAGTTGGACGAAAGTTTTCTGCCCTGACTGCTCTGTACAGCCAAATGTTCTTCGGTTTCATCTCTTCAAAACTTCTTTCAAGAAAAGATGATCGGGAGGAAAGCCGTCATGAATCCATCCAAGACGCAGGTGCCACTTCTAGTGAAAGCAGAGATGCAAGCATCTTTGAAGAGCCTCTGAGCGGAGGTGAGGAAGAAATTTGTGAACCTGGCCAGCATAATGAGAGTGCTTCTGCAGAAGTAGAATTAACAACAATTAATGAAGAGAGAAACTCTTAGAACACAAAATTCTATTGCAGTGCACGCTTCCTGAGATGATGATGTTCTTACCTTGTTAAATATTATTGTAATATAGGTTCTTTCCTAAGGGTAACTAATTTAGTCCTTTATCTTGTAGAGGGTTTATACTCGAGGTTAATTAATGCTTTATATTCCTTTTTTTTTATACCTAATAAATCTGGACTATAACATTAAATATTTAGATTAATTATATCAACACCGCAATTTATTGGCTCGACACTAAAATAAATTGGATCATTGAAAGCAACTATTAATTTAGGGAAAAAATTCATGGGTCAGGATTATCTTTCACGAAATCAAAAATCAGGTCATAATATTTAAATTTACAAAACTCAGATTTTTCCATGAATTAATTAATTATATTTTACAATTAATCTATTAAATTAAATATTTAACTGTAATATAATATAATTGACCTACCCACTCCACTCCACCTCCACTGCTTCGACGACTATTCCAATGATCGGCGACTGTTCTTCGGCCGTGCTTAATTCTGGCGACTAATTTCCGGTGGCCGTTGGCCGCCGCTTAATTCTGGTAACTACTTCGATTCCAAGATCACGGATATCTTATTAAGTAGTTAAAAATTTAATTTTCGATCACAACTTATCAAATTAATTGATCACAGATTATTTTGAGGCCACAAATGAAAAAATTTATAGGTCACAGATTTTTAATTGGTCACAAGTTAAGAAAATCTATTGGTCACATATTTCCAAATTTTTTGGTCACATATTAACAAATTTTAAGGTCACAGTTAAATAGTTAGCCGCAGATAACTATAGAGTTGGTCACATACACCCAAACCCCTATCCTCCAATCCCACTACACCACCAATATTTGGTCACATATCGATATAGTTGGTCACATACACCCAAACACCCATCCCCCTAATTCCAAAACACCACCAATACTTGGTCACGGATCGACCAAATAGTTGGTCACATAAACTCTTCGTCCCATCCGCTCGACGCCGCCGCCACCTCCATCGCCCCGACCACCGACCAACAATAATACCATGGACAACCAACCACCAACAACAGCTACACACAGAGATCCACTCGCCACAGCCAAGAAACCACCGCGAAATCACTACCAAAAAATCGCTGCACCACCACCAAGCGAAGACCTCCACTGCCGCATCGAAGACCCACAGCACCTCCACCACACACCAACTACTACGCCACAACAAAATTACAACCAAAAAAAGCTGTTCGTTCTCTGTCGGGCGAAGACCTCCACCGCACACACCAACGCATCGAAGACCCACAGCACCTCCAACGCCCGCCACAACTATACAGCGTCCCGACGTTGTTCACCCACAGTAGCATCGCGATGCTGCTGTGGGTTGCAGCAGCGTGAGACGCTGCTACGAATCTCAGCAGCGTCGCGCTGCTGATCGTAGTAGGGGAGGGGGAGGGAAGGGGAATGAGGAGTAGGGAGGGGCGGCGGGCGATGGTGGTGGGAGGAGGAGGCAGGGAGGGAGGTAGGGAGGAGAGAAGGAGGCGACGTCGACAGGAAGAGAGGGGAAGGGAGAAGGGAAGGAGACGACGGTCGGTGGTGGTGGTGGTGGGGGGAGGCGGCGGGCGGTTGTGGTAGGAGGAGTGAAATGGAATAGGCGGCGTATGGAGAGAGGTGAGAGGGTGGAGAGAAATTGATAGATTTATGGTTAGAATAGATTTAAGGTTTTAATTTATTAAAATGATAAAAACCTGAAAAATAAAGTGAAAATATGATTTTTTTTAAAAACTCAAACTAAAGGCATGGTGTTTGGTAATTTTCCCATTAATTTTTGTTGCTTGTTTATTAGTTGGATGGCCCATTTGGTGATTAGCCCACTTTATTGTCACTTGATTTTGGCCCATCTTGTTGTTATGCCTTAGCCCAATTGTGTTTGGCTCATCTCCTTACCTGGACCTAAAACTATGCCCCGTTTGACAACCATTATTTGAAAAAAAAAAAAAAAAACGATGTTCAGAATAATGAATTTTAGGAGAATGTATCGTTAGAAGGTAGAGAAAAGAAGTTTTGAATTTACTTACAGAATTTTTTATTTTGTAAATGTGTTTGAAAATGAGTATGTAAATTTTTTTTTTGAAAATAATGGTTTTCAAGTGCTATTTGTTAGTGCCCTTGGTTTGTGAGTGCCGTGTGCTTGCAATTGTGAGTAATTGAGAGGCAACCATGTTCCTTCGAGAAAAGCGGTGAAACCATAACTTTGTTTGCAACCTTTTATCTCTCCTTCTCTAGGATATTACATCCATCATTATTGATCCTTTGTGGGTTGAAATAGAGGGCAATCATAGTGAGAAATTTTTTGTGGGTTGAGCTATCAATTTGGTTGGTGTTTGATTCAGTATATTGTAGAAACCGAACCCAATTGCACATATTCGAAGTCCTTGGTTTGCAATTTCCACGACAAAAATATTAAAACCCTCATCTGGAGCAATTTTTTCCCTTTTTGTTAATTTTCATTTCTTTGTAAATTATTCATGATTTTTTCCAGGTAAATATTTGTTTCCATGTTATTTCCTCTACTGCTTTGAGCTTTCTATTTATTTGGTCTGCACTTGACTCATTCAGAGCGATTGATGTTATCCGACGAAATCTTTAAATTAAGCCCATATTTAGTTTAGCTAAAAATCAGAATTTTTTGGTAGATTTTGATGAATTTGTGTTTAAAAAGTTGATAAAAGTTATAGATCAAATTAAACGTACTATTGAAAATGAATTTTAAAAAATGGAACCAAATATGGTCTAAATTTCAATATTATATACGCTGCAAATTTTGGAGTTTTTGATGACCGTGTCAAACTCCAGCTAATAGTGAAACAATTTTTTACTCTCTGTGTCAAACTCCAAATAAAAAAATTAATATAATGGCGTCCATAATAGACACAGGAAAATGGAACATAGCATTTCCCATAAGAGTCAAGCTATAGGTACAGGAATTTAAATTCCTGTACCTGCCCGACAACACACATCATGGGTGGGTTGGGGAGGTTTTTGGCATTATTTTAATCATGTGGGGCCACCCCCATGTGAGATAAATTNCCCCCCCCCCCCCCCCCTCCCTCCCTCCCTCCCTCCCTCCCCAATAAGAGGTCTCGATGTGTCCATGAGAAATGCTAAGGGTACATAGCCCTTAACATATAATGGTGTCCATAAATGCGCCCCCCAATAGGGGGCCTCCATGTGTCCATTATGAGAAATGCTATGTACCCAGAGAGTTTCCCATATTTTTTTTATGGAAAAGTGTTTCTAAAATGAAGGGAGAAAGCTTCTGGTGCAATGTTCTGCTATTTGTACGAAGTACATATTCTAATCATGATCTTGTGTTTTAACAATGCACAGTTAAGAGTTTTACGTGAAATGGACATCCTAACACTTATGTAACAACGTAGTAAACTTTTATTTTTAAGAAAATTAGAGTTAATCAAGACATTTTATAAAAAATTTAAACTATTATTTTGAACAATAACAAACTGCTAGTCTCACATTTAGCTAGTGTTCTAAAAATCGTAAAACGTGGGGTTAGAGTTGGGGGCGAAGTTTCAAACTTTACGAACTTATGCGAGATCTGAGTACAAAAAGCATTTTCTTATGTTTAATATTATTTTAAAACATTAATCATTTTAAAATTATTTAATAATTAAAATAATACATATCACACATCTAAAATTATAAAATACTGTATTTACCTAATAATTCTTAGATTATTTTTCATAATTCTATTTTCAACTAGACAAGTCTTACTTAATAGATTTATATGAACTTTATACATATTTTTCGAAGTTTTCAACAAAATAATGATTCTCAAGATCATAAGTACATAATGTAGATAGCACCATAAATTAAATAGAGAAAACTGTCTGAAAATTTGACTAAGCTTGTTGCTAGCTTATGGCTGGACTATCGCTCGAGCGATAGGCTAGCAATAAGTTAGCGAAAATTCTACGTTTTATCTCTCGAGCGAGGCGATGGCGACAGGCTAGCGACAAGTGAATGGTACGACCTTTGGCAAGAGTTGTTGAGCCTGAGGCGTGACATTTCATTCACAACCCCTCATCCTCTATATATAGGACCCTATGGACGTCCCAATCTTCACACCAATGATATGCAATCATATAGCATTCATTTTCTCTTCTTTCTCAACCAAAATTTTTGCATTCTTGTTGTTTAAATTCTGGTTTCTTCACTTTGCATTTCGGAGTTTGTAAACCAAGTTTGGTTCGCCGTTTCTTATGTATTGTAGTGATATTCACACAAGAAGATAATCGTTGTATCTTGGGAGTTGATTGCCATAAACCGTAAGCACCGTTGCGGGGAAAATTCGACTTAAGAACAAAGTATTCAACACTTGCCTCTCGACTTTGACATTATTGCTGTTATACTACACATTTGAAGGATTTATTTGGAGTCAATTTCCTACCATTACTCTGCCGAAATTTCTACAAAATTTTAAAGGTATTTCCCAGTGTTTGTTGTCACTCCATACACGAGATTTGTCCAACAATCTTAAGTCGAATTTTTTGTTGGAGTGACTTTGATCTTCGGTTAAATCATATGTTGGTTTAACTTCTTCTACTCTTCTAATTATTGTTGATCTTCTATTTTGTGTAAACAGAAATGACTTCGGTTTTCAATATCGATACTACTTCGAATGTGGGAACTTCGGAAGGAAGTGTTCCTAATGTGGTGATTTATTCGGTTGTAAATGCTCCTACCAATTCTGTTCCACATGGAGAGAAACCGGAGAAATTCAATGGGGCTGATTTTAAGAGATGACAACAGAAAATGTTGTTTTATCTCATGACCCTAAACTTAGCGAAATTCTTGAATGAAGATGCTCTCGCCACACAAGAAGGGGAAAACAATAGGGCATTGTTGATGCTCTAGATGCATGGAAACATTCAGATTTTCTATCCAAGAATTACATTCTGAATGGATTTGACAACTCGTTGTATAACGTTTATAGT